CGTTTTCTTATTACCTGAATGAGTCGATTTCTTATGGCTTTATTATTGTTACAGGCGATATTTGAGCAATAATTACTCGGAAAAATTTTATTATTTTTAATACATATTTCATTTATTTTTGAACACAAAATTAGATTTTTGTAGAATGCTGTTGGCGCACAATTGGCAATTTGTCATTTTTTTTTAGATATTCCTAAAATGACGTGAAAGAAACGATGTTGCCGATTTCTCAACATTGGCGATTGTTTCCTATTTCTCATGTTCTGCATGGTGGGTATAGAGGTATGTACGTAGGTGTGTATGTATGTTGTTTGTGTACACTTTTAAGTTTCTGCTACACGTGTAGTCTTTTGTGTATCGGCTATATACATAAATAGTACCTACATAAGTCTATATACAATACCTAGGCAGCAGCCTCAGCTTGACCATTAACCTGTCTTCGCTCGCCTTTCCTCATAATTGCATACATACATACTTGCCTACATTCACACATCCACACACGTATGTGCAAACACAGCGAGCTAGGGTTTTAAATTATTTATAACGAAGCGTGACTTTTACTATTTGAATGATTCACATTTGCGACGCGTAATTTCGCACACCTTTATTGTTTTCTTTATTTATTGTCTGCGTCTTTATTACTATTTTAATGTTTCTATTTGCGTATCTTTTCTAACCTAGTAAAACTCAGAATAGCTACATATGTATGCATTTATAGCTTTTTCAAGTGCGGAGCAACTTTAATAGTAAATCCGCCCTGTACTTGTCTTTATCGCATTGAGAAAACTATGTCAGACTGGAAGAAGAGTACATATCGTCGGTCCCTACGAAGAGTAGCACATTTCACTATTCGCGTGGAAGAGTAGCACATTTAGGGTTTAAACTAAATCATAAAAGCATAATTTATATTCAAGTGCTTATTTTATATTTCTATAATTCTATTATGAAACTCATGAAATTCAGACGGCATATAGCGTTTAGTGATCATTTGCCGGCGATCATCCACTTTTCTTTTTTTTTAAGGCATTTTTCCCCTTTAAGCTTTATGCAATTCATATTGTTTTATGGTTAACCATTGAAATTTTGTTTACAGTATGTTCAATTTCAATTAAAATAAAGTTCATTTAAAAAAAAACCATGTAAACCCACGCTTAAAATTTTGTAGAAATCTAAAAAAAAAATCAACTAATTTTCATTAAAATTTCAAATTTTGTTTACTCAGAAGTGTTACAATTTTTTTTGAATATGAAGCTTTATAGCCGATTCAATTTTAGTGTGATAATGTGCAAGTTTCAAGAGCCTTAAAACCTTTGATTCTTTTTGTCGCATTCGCTACCATATAACGAATAAACACAATTTATTTTTATATGGAAGAAAACCGCAACAACAGAAACTTTTAGCCACTTGAAACTTGCAGATTATTGCAATAAAATTGAAAGGGCTTTAAATCGATGTACTCAAAAAATTCTGAGAAAATAATTTTGACATTTGGATGAACATTTTTAGTTGTATACAAAGTTTGAATGAACTTTATTTTAATGAAAATTCTTAAAAATAAATAAATTACCATAAGTGGAAAACAATATCGCTTTGAAATGAGGTGCTCTTGATATGACTGCATGTACATTAGGGTGGTCCAAAACAGTAAAGTCGGAATTGTAATGCTCTCACCTCCTAGGATTGTTCTATATAGAAAAAAGTGTACCCCTATTTTTTTAATTTTAAAATCAAAAAATATTTAGAGGTCGCTCAAAGCGCTCAAAGTTTTCCATGTATTTTTATATGGGGAAAAACAACTTTTCGTAGAAATGGTATAGAATTCTTGAAAATCAATATTTTTCGATCGGAAAACTCTGGTTCTCTTCAGGAGACTTACAATAATAATACCCAAGTATTTATTTAACCATTTTTTAATACTAACGATTTTTTATTTGTCCACCCATTGCATTTTTCGAGGTTTTTGTGGGTTTTTGGCGGACCTACAAATTATAGTTGCGATGAAAAAAATGGTTAAATAAACAATTGGGTATTATTATTGGGAATCCTGCAGATGAAAAGAGTTTTCCCATAGAAAAATATTAGTTTTTTTTTTAATTCCAAACGATTTACTCCATTAAACTCTGAGCTTAGTTGAGGAGAAATAATTATGTTTGGTTTTTGTACGGCTGCTAGTACCACTTTATTTAGATCGTGAGTAATTTAACCGGCAGTTGTCTTAAGTATCTCTTATACGTGGCAAGAGCAATCCCTTTTGAAGTCTGTCAAACTCAAGAATTTCCCAAAAAGATCCAATAATTTTTTCAGGGCATATGTATGTGTGAACGAAGAAAATACTAATTACGAACACAGCTACATACATATGTACGTAGATGCTTAAACAAGTGTTTGCTCTCAACAAATTTACCTAAAGCACAATAAAATTACATATCTACTGTTTTGGTGCGACTGCTAACATCGGGCGCCTAAATGCATGCTATATAAATTTATGAAATTTTTGCATATGCACTTCTCAACTGCCACTTAATAAAACTTTCTTAAGTTGTACTCCCTTATTCTAGAACCCGATTTTTCGTTATTCGTAATTCGTAGCTACGTTACGAAAATCGTGCTGCAACCCTTGCATTGCCACCTATCAGTGGTTTTTCGAAGACAGTTGTATGAAGGAAAAAAAGTGGAAAGGAATTAAAAAAACACTCATCAAGTGCTTATTTATAGTAATTTTTTTTATTACATACATATTTAGAATAAAACGATGGATTCTATTGCATTTGCAATTATAGCAGCGAAGTAAGATCGTGCTATGGAAATGAATCCACAAAGATTTGCGTCGGTTGTCGGGCATAGTAACCATGGACGCATCTACATATGTCAGCTTCTGGTTGAATTGTTGAACCAAAAGCCATAACTCCTCCTATGCCTGAAGAACTGGTTCTCAATCAGTGTTGCCACTATTGGCCTTTTACGACCAAATTTGGTCGGAAATAAGAATCAAAAATTTTGTACGCCCAAATATGGCTTTGAAAGTCCTTCACACAATTTTATATCCCGCGAACATCAAGCCTGTTTTAGTGCTATTCAAGACCTTTAATTTAAGTCTAGGTAGAAGTCTCTAGGCGCTTTGAGAGCTAAATTATAACGATTCTGAAGTTAAACTTCGAAATTTCATTCGACATTTTACGCAATTTTTTTTTTCTAATTTCGGAGTAAAAACTTGTGCAGCAGTTTCGAAGTTTGGCTTAAAATTGTTATAACTTAGCTCTCAGACGGCCTAGAGGCTTCTACCTTGGCTCAAATTAAAAGTCTTGAATTGCACTTATTGTTCGAAGGATATAAAATTGAGTGAAGGATGCACAGCTGCATGTATTCAAAACATTTAATCTTATGTAGCTATATATGTAGCTATATGTATATATATTTATGTAGCTATTTCAAATTTGCACTTTATTGTACTAAAATTTAAAGAGCTGCGTACTCAAAAAAATTCTAAAAAAATCTGATTAAACAGTTTCCAATTTTGATGAACGTTTCTTAAAATTGTGGAAAAAGTAAAAGAATCGGCTAAGAACCGGCCAAAAACGGCGATGCCGATGCCGATGCCGATTATTTTGGCCGATACTTGCCGATGCCGATTAATCGGTCGGACTCTACTCAGATATGTGTTTTTGAGCTATAACTCTAACTTCATATCTAAATTATAAATTGTATGCGTGCTATATATTAAAATGAACCTATATCAGTTGTATGGGAGCTAGATGTTATAGTAAACCGAGTTCGATCCTTTTAAGAGATAGTGAATTTAAGCAATTTTTCATGTACCGCTATTTCGAAAAGTGAAGCCAATCGGGGAAAACTGGGGACGCCATTGAATTTAGAAGGCTCCAATTATGTTGGACCGACTATCAGAACCTTTGTCGAAAAACAGCATCATTAAAAGTAGTAAATCGGGGCTTTTACACACTTCTAGAGAAAATTTTTTGAAGCATTTTACATGTATACATATGTAACGTTATAAGTACTAGTAATTATAAAAAGATTTAGATCGTTTCGACGTATTTTCCAAATGTGCCTTCAATTAAGATTGATTCAAAACTTTTTTTGAGTCTACAAATATACGTCTATGAATTATATCCAAAAGCAAAAGCTTAATATAGTTTACAACAATGAAAATAAAGCTACATAAATAACACAACGGTTAGCAGCTTTTTAGACTTGCCCATATGCGAAAGGCAAATTTAAAAGAACACCGACTAATATTTCCTGCAAACACACATCAATTTACATCTTTTATCTCGCTTTCGACACAGAATTGTTTCCGTACAAAATTACGCAAAAAAGCTGTCAATTTCTTACTCGTTCGTTTTTAGGCATGTCATTGTTACGAGTTTCGAAAGTTCAAAAATACGATTCGGATTGCAGCATACTATTTATACGATTCGTAGTAAAATCCGAATACGAAAGTGTTGCAGAATAGGGGTGATAAACTCGTGGCACTTCAAAGGATGCTCGGCCTAGTTTGATGCATCCTCTGGACACTGCTTTCGGGGCATTTTGCGAACTCTGCAGGCTTACAACCATGCAGAGGTGGTAAATGAACTTTACCATTGGCCACAGTGCCTACTCACCTTTTGTGATCAAATAATTTCCTTTTCATCTACTGTTTACTACTTTCATTATTATTTTTAAACGACTTCAAAAAAAGCGGTTATCAATTCGACAGAATATATATATATATTTTTTTTAAGGTGTATTACCGCATAACTTTGGACCACGTGAACCGTTTTCGATAATTCTTTTTTTTTCGGAAAGGGTGTATCACACTGGGGGCATATTCCAGTTTTTGTACGAATCGAAAATCACGAAATTTTCCTAGCATTTTCTATGCAAAAATTTCAAATATTCGATTCGTACGAATACATGACTACGCCTCACTAATTTGTAAATTTATTGTTGATTTTATTTTATCATTCAGTAATAAATTTAAGTACAATTAATTTTTTGCTCTTTATTTTCAAAAGACTCCCGATATTCGCACATTTCTGGACATTGCTTTGCCTGCAGCATATATTAGAAAAGGAGATAGTGTTGACCAAGCTACAGCACCTTCAACAAAACCTTCAAAGGATGAAGATATATCCAGACATTGTTTGTTTGAGGAAGAGCAACATCGTGCTGTTCTAACGCATAGCTTCTTGCCACTCGAAATCGAAGAACTACCACATGAGGCCAAGGATGTACTCAAACGCTTGCTAGAGGTGGATCCAAAACAGCGTTTGCATTCGGTCTTGACACTGCAAAAAATCGCACTATACAAAAATTTTAAAATTGATTCAAAATATTTGCTAAATGTAAGTTGATAGTATGTAACTGTGTTTCTTTTAACGCACATATCTATGCGCAAATCTGGCGGCACACTTATTCCATCGCGAAATTGTATTTAAATAAAAAACTAAGAAAGATATCTATATCTATGTATGTACTTATGTATACATATTATAATCTATAAAGGAAAGTCGAGATTCTTTGAAATCTTGAAAACTACGGAACGGATTTGGACAATATTTTCTCTAATATATTCTTAGCGATAAGAGAGTGACCTTTTGGTATTTAACATTTCTATAGGGTTGCCATCTTTATAAAATATTATAAGATTCGCACCATTTCGCTGAAGTGAGATGTCAAATGAAAGGCTTTGGCCGGTAGATGTTCAATAATGTTTTATCTTTTAAGTAGGGTTGCCACCTTTTTAAAAATTATAAGATCTTCACCGTTCGTTGGACTAAAAAATTACGTACCAAGTGAAAAGATATGGTCTCCGGATGTGCAATAAGCTTTTGTTTAATTTTAGTGGGGTTGCCACTTATATAAAAATTAACACCCTACATACATATGTATGGACATATGTATAATACGTGAAGGCATTATTTGTTAATTACATCAGATTTGCACAGTTCATTCGATTAAAAAAAAAAATAGGTTTGAAAGAAAAGGGCTTGGCCTTCAGATGTGCAATAAGGTTTAATTTTTCGAAGAGGGTTGCCACCTTTTTAAAAATTATGAGATCTTTGCCGCTCGTTGAATTATGAAGATGATTAAAAATTATGTGACTTAATTTTGTTAACAATATACAACATTTAATTTAAAGAATCTATTTGTACAAATCGAATGTAATTAACAAGAAACGCCTTGACGTATTATAAGTAAGGTAGTAGTTTTTAAATAGGTGACAACCCTACTAAAAAATAAAAGTTTATTGCACATCCAGAGACCGTTTCCTCTCACTTGGTACCTATTTTTTTAAGTGCAATGAACGGTGAAGATCTTATAACTTTTATAAAGGTGGCAACCCTACTCAAAAATAATACAATATTGAACATCTAGAGGTCAATCCCTTTCAATTTAAATTTCACTTTTTGTAATTCCACGAACAGATCTTAACATTTTTTAGATGGGTGGCAACCCTATTAAAATTGTAAGTACCAAAGGTCACTCTCCCATCGTTACAAATTATAAAAGAGAAAAACTGGACCGAATTCGTTCAGTAGTTTCCGAGATTAGCGTGTTCAAAGAATCTCGAAACATAAAAAAAATATAAAAAACTGGAAGGGCGTTTTAAAAAGTAGCATGTAGCTTCGTTGTTTTTGGTACTAGTACTTTAAAATTTTTATTGAATCTGTGAAAAACACAGTTTCCGAAAAAGTGTTGGTTAGGCCTTTGTGAATTAAGCTATGTATGTGTTTTTTACTCTCCTTTCAGCTCAATGATTTATGAAAGTTATCTTTTAATTAACTGTGTATACTCCATTTGTGAATACTTCTTTACCAACAATAATTTTATTTGCAGCTCCGTCCAATGGATCTGATAAGCCCTGAAGATATTGTTGCCTTTACACATTCCTCCGAAGACGAAAGTGACTGGGAAGAAAGACAATTTTACAAATTTTAAATCCAATAATTAAGTAATATCAGTCAAGTATATACTTCTATTTAATACAAAAGGATTCATGTATGAATTCCTGCAGAACAAAATGTGTCATATACATACGTACAAAAAATTTCGATATAACGGAGATGAAGGGTTTGAACAAATGCTACGTTATATTTACAGTTTCGTTATATTTATAGAATATCAAAACCTCGATATAACGAAATTTGCAAAATTAAAAAAAAGTGTTATAAGCAGATCTGAGCGACACCTACTGCGAAGTACCCTCCGGGTAACGTGGTGTGTTCGTATACACGAAGTTGCAAGCGAAAATTAATTACTGCAATGAATCGCTTAAAGGCCAGTAAGCAGCTCTCAAGAAAATGGTCAAGAAAAAGTTGCCATTATTCCAAGGAATTTTGACATCTGATAATTCACCAGCCTGTTGCCACACACTTTCCTCAAGAAATAATGGAACGGGTATATATATGTATACATCTGTTGCAAGCATGGGTTGCCTTTTGTTCTCTTTTCACAAAACAACTTTAGATAACTGTAGTAGAAAGCGTAGCAAATTTCTTAAGAACTGCGGACTGCTGTGGAGCTTTTTGTTGGGAAAATCTCGCAACAAGGAGGTTTTTTCAGGGTCCCAGCAAAAATTTCGTTTTATAAAGATTCGTTATATCGAAGTTTCATTGTACTATAAATAAAATTTACGGTTTTTTGAAAATTTGTGTTTCAGAGTTTTAGTCCTATAATACAAATAACTTAATAAAAACATAATAATCTGAAGAAAATGAGTTGCAGAATGCGGTACAGAAGCAAAAAAAAAAATAATAAAATTTAGTACATAATATGTATACGTAGCCTCTGTAGGGTATAATTACACGGTGCTACAAAAACAAATTGGTTGCATCTACTTTTTATGTCCTGTAGTCAGGGCCGTTGAGAGAAAACTCGGGTCCGGGGTTAAAAAAAATCACGGGCTCCCATATATAAAGTGTAAAAAGTTAAAGGCATATGGCCCAAATCGCCGAAAACGAAACCGAGGGGAACAAATTTTTTTTCTCAGGTTTGGCAGATTTTTGATTATATCTGGGTCAAACATATTCTGAGGTATATACAAGACAATATACATAAATATTAACACGAATCACCTTCCCTCCCTTCCAAATTTAAATTAAATTTCGCGTCGATCTATTCGTGGCGATTTTTTTAGATTTTTTTGGATGTACATAGCTCAGTGGTTAACGCTTCTGACTTTGAACATCGATTACGCAGGTTCGATCCCTGCTGAAGTCTAGAAAAAAAAGAAGTCTGACGAGGAGGTGGTGGAGGAGACTTTGTTGCTTTTTCAATTTTTCCTAATAAACAATCGTGGTACA